GGTGACTAGCATGACCGTGAGTCCTTATAATGTGATTATCATGACTTGGTTGTGAACTCCGTGTTTATTGGAGGATTTCTATATGTTGTGAATAACATGTGAACGGTGATATGATCATTTGATCCTAGGAGCATTGGCTCGAATTGTGATACGAATATTGAAAGTATATAAAATGACTTGAATCTGTGGAGCGTTGGCTCAAGATGGTAGAATGGATTATAAGAAAAGAAAAGTAAGAAAGAGAAAGCGTTGTTGATTATTCCCTTGCCGGGACGTTTGGTTGAACTTGTTGGTTTCTTTCCCTTGCCGGGATTTTTGTCAAATATTTGCTTATTTTTTTTATGCCTCTTAATCGTGACTGTTGTTTGCGGAGTCAGACTGTTAAATGATGTGGATCAGGTTGCGCGCCGCAACAAAGATATTGAGGATCGGGTTGCACGCCGCAACAATAATATGTGAGGATCGGGTTGCGCGCCGCAACAATGATACATGATAAATGATGTGGATCAGGTTGCACGCCGCAACAGTGGTATTTGTGGATCGGGTTGCACGCCGCAACAATGGTAAATTGTGGACCGGGTTGCACGCCGCAACAATTATTGATACCATGTGTTTATATTGAGTATTGTTTTCCTTGTTCATTGTGAATCTAAGCTGCTTTAGTTTGTTACTCGGAATTACTGTTACTATTGTTATCTCCCCACAGCATGTTTCCCCCTCCCATATTGCTAGTTGTTTGGTATTTTGTTTCCGTTGTATATTTATAACTGTACAGGTTTATATGGTGTCCGGTCTAGCCTCGTCACTACTTCGCCGGGGTTAGGCTAGACACTTACCAGCACATGGGGTCGGTTGTGCTGATGCTACGCTTTTGTGCATTTTTGCACAGGTCCAGGTTTTGAGGAGCAGCAGCAGCATTAGTACGGGAGCAGGCTTTCATTATCACGAGACCGAGGTAGCCTTGCAGGCGTCCGCAGGCCCGGCGTCTCTTCTTTATGTTCTCTTTTAGACTGTTGCCTCCTTGTCTCGAGACAGACATCTTTTATGTTTCTTTCAGACCTTTGTATTTAGTATATTCTTAGTGGTTCGTGAGTGATGTGACACCAAATCTTGGGTAGAGGCTATTATTAACTGTTCTGCGTTTTGATTCAGATTTATAAATCAGACTTCCGCTATTATTCTTAGTAAATTTCATGTTCTATATTGATGCTATAAATTGTTAAAATAATTGTTTAGTGATGAAAAGGTAAATAAGTCGGCTTGCCTAGCTACCACGAGTAGGCGCCATCACGATCCCGATGGTGGGAAACTCGGGTCGTGAGAAATATTTAAGTTATTTGGATTATATATAAATAATCTTAAAATATACACTTTCTCAGTAAATATAGACAATCATTGGATATTAACTACATGAAAAAATTAACCAATTCTTCTATTTTTCTTTTTTGATACCATTCTTGCCGGTGTCATTGAATCCTAAAAATAGTCAGGAAACAAAATAATAACTCATATTTATGGCAAAACAATCAAATATTGAGACAATGAATGACTCTTTGGATAAGACTTAACTCTTTTACTACTACTTGAGCTCTTATTTGGTGTGTTGATATCTCTTAAAAAATGTTTTTTTCTTAAAATTTCAGTTTCTAAAACAATATTTTTCAATAATAACTATTTTTATGATAATGTAATTGAAAATATTATTCTTAATTCAAAACTCATTTTAGTTGGCTATCTAAAAATATAAAAAATTCTTTAGCTAGTGAATCTTTTTTACTCCATTTTGATATTTGACATTAACCATGTTAAATATCTGAGGTATTTGAATTATATGTAAATAACCTTAACATTTAAACCTTCTAAATAATTATAGATAATAGTCAGATATTAATTAATAAACACTACATGAAAAAAAGACTAATATTTTCTCATTTCTCATAGTGATAATTTTATTTTTGCATTATTCTCATATGTGTCATTGGAACCTAAAATAGCCACAAAGTGAAATAGTAACTCATATTTATGGCAAAGCACAAAGGTTGACACGATATAAATGATTCTTTGATTACGACATGACTCTTATACTACGACTTGAACTCTTATTTGGTATGATTTTATCTTTCAAAAAATATTTCTATTTTGAAATTTCAATTTCTAAAATTTTATATATATATTATTATTATAAAGATTATCTTTATAATGATGCAAGCGAAGATATTATCCTTAATTTAAAATTCACTTTAATCGGCTATCTAAAAATTTAAATAATTCTTTGGGCGTTTTTTTTTTTGTTTTTGGGCGGATTTATTTCAGTATGACTCCACTTTAAGTTTATCGATATCTCTAGCCCCAGAATTTGAATTTTTAATACCCTATATATACAAAAATTTTGTTCTTTGAATCACTAATGTTAAATTAGTTGATTATTATTATAAAATATTGCATATATTTTCTCAAAATTGTCAAGTAGTTTATTTTAACACCTGGCTTAACCTCAATGCAAACTACTCAAATTGCATTCCAATTCAAATTCGAATATCATATCAGTTTGTTAGTAATAGTGATTTTTTAAAAATGACACATGATGTAAATTAAACTAAATATTCTAAGATATTCTTATCTTATAATCTATGTATTTGAGTTGAAAAAATATATTTGAAATCGATGAGATTAACTTTCAAATTTTTTATTTTCAACAGAGATGAAACATAAGAAGAAATTTGTTGTCATCTTTTATTTTTTGTTTTTAGATCTTTCTAACATTTTTTTCAATATTTATTTTCTTTTATCTTATTTTTTATGTCATTATTTCTTTTGTTACAAAAAATTAATTTATTTCACTAAAAAAGGATGAGTTTTAATAAAAATTGTCTACGTATGAACTTTAATTATATTTTTAGTCTTTGGTTGAAATTATTTCATATTTTTCTTTTGGCTTTATCTAATCAGCCTAAATAGATGCTCACCCGACCACTTAAATTAAAAAATTGAATGATGTGTAATTTATATATAATATGTGTATAATCGTGTGTTGTCGATATATCATATATTTATATTAGCTATAAAAAGTAAACAATAAATATGAACGGATATTATGTAAATATTTCATAAGATTCGTTTTTTTGAGTTTATCCATGATATAACTTCTATTATAATAATTTTAAAACTCTATACTAATGTTCAAAATAATCTTATCTTTTTATTATCTTTGAATTAATAAAAGTAAAGAGTTTTTTCGAAATAATTTGTTTACATTTTAAAAAAAAATATTTCACGTCATACCAAATTTTTCTTTATATATACTCTTTGTTACACTTAAAAGTCGCTATAGAAACTATCAATTAGAAACCAATTTCTCTCTTGTTGAGTTTGAAAAAAAAACTTTCACATAATTTAATGATTCAAAACTAATATTCTTAAACGAAAAAAATATTATACCCTTGCAATGTTAGCTTGACAACATCTAAATGAAGGGGTTTCAGCTTATACCCTTCAATTCCTTGAATGTGCTAAATTGAAATTAATGATAGCAATTGTATAGCCAAAGTTTTGTTCTTTGTTTGATGTCCATTTATGCAAATTGCTCTTCAAACAAATATTCTTCAAGAAGAAAAAAGAAATAACTTTTCTTTAATATTGACTGATTTTGTGATGTTTCTTTCTCCAACGTGTATGTTTACTTTATTATATATGTAAGTCAACTTTTATTTGGTTTTGTAAACTCTTTTTTGTTATTTAGATAAACATAGACGTGTACCCTATATATTACATTTATTTTTAAAAAAATTCGTTTTATTCAAATCTAGCTACAGTGTTTCAAAGAACTATATTTTATAGTTATATGGAGAATTTTTTTTTTTTTGCTAGAGGCGAAGTAGTATTTAAAAAATTAGAAAAAATAACAAAAGTTCCTAACATGATTGCATATGATCATTAACCGAATTAAGTATGATAACATGATAAAAAAAAATTATTTTTAATTTAAATTCGAATTTTAGAACTTTATCTATAAATTCAAAATTATCCTTTTGGTTGTAATTGTATTTCTATTTGTATTCAGTGTATTTCATTATATTTTAAAATTAAATGTATTCACTGTTTATATTCTGTTCTATTTCAATGTTTATATTCTGTATATTTCAATATTTGTATCCTGTTCTATTTAAATGTTTGTATTCAGTGTATTGCAATATTTGTATCATGTATTCATGTATACTGTATATAATGTATGCATGAATACATGTGTATTCAACTGTATACATACCTTCGAAATACCTAAATACATGCCAAAAAAATATTTATGCAAAAATATAATGTGTTTGAGTGAATTTGTACATAATATAATGTATTTGTATTATTGTATGTGACTAAATAGCAAAGAAGAACGAAAGTTTGTCAGAGATGGCGTTTTTCGGCCAAGCAAAATATTGTATACATTGTGTTAAAACTAAAAATGAAGACGAACAAAAACTCCGGCCCTCAAATCTTCTCCGGCGTAGAAAATATTGCAGTATTATAATACTCATAATCTACTCGGATATTCCGACATCGTTTTTGATCCCCGCGCAGTGACCCTAACCTCAGAGCGACGAGCCTCTCCTTTTTATGAAGGAATCTGATTTTGAAGAAAAGGTCCGCCTTTCCCCTCTTTCTCCCAACAGTTTAGAAGTATTTTCAACTGCAGTAACCGTAGTGGATTCGGCCACAGAATTCACGATTAGAAGCAGGTATTTTGCTCGAAGAAAGAGAAGGAAGAGGGAGCCTTGCTCGAAGAGAGAGAAGGAAGAAAAATTGTGAGAGAGAATCGTGTGTTAATTGAAAGAAAGAGAGAGGAAAAACATAAATAGTGTATTTCAATCTAGAATATATCATAAATACTTATTTTGCTATAAAATATAAAAGATAGCTATAGAAAATAATCTTTTAAAATAATTTTGGTTTATACAATAAATATGGTGTACAAGAGGTAAATTTCCTAAATAAATTCCATGAATGTTCTTCTTCTGTTTTCGCTCTTTTGCCGATGCTGTACCCATTGCTCAGGTTTTCACTTTTCACCAAGTTAAAAGGAGTGTTTTAACCTCCGTTCCATATCTTTTTTTTAACTAAAAAAATCCTTCCCATATCTTCAAGAACATTCTTTGCTCTCTACCTCGGAACCTCCGAATAATAATATCTTCAAGTTCTTTTTTGTTTCTTTTTAATTTTCTTTGCTGCTGCTATTAAATTACTTGGGGACTCGTTCTTCGTTCTTGGTATTTGAGGTACAGTAACATTTTTATGCTGAGAAATTATGAGCTAATTACCTAAATGTCTGCAATGTGATTATATGCTATTTCCATTTTTTATATTTAATTTATCATTGCTTTCTTGAACCATCTTTGTTTAATTAGTCCGTGCAATCTTTTTATTTTTTATGTAAAAATGACTATTTGATGTTCTTTGCTTCTGTGATAGGCAAGAAATGGTATTCGAAAAAAGAAAAGAAGAATAAAGTTCTATTCTTTTTCAGTTGGCTATTCATTTGAAGGCTGTATTTTCAACAACATTGTTTCTTAGCAGTGACTGTAGTTTTTATTTGATTAAGAATGAATGGAAGATTAGGTTGGAGCTTCTTTTTATCATTTTCAAGATTTTTAGTTCATGTACCATGAACTGAAATTGGGAACCGAAAAATTCATAGAATTGACCACAACAAAAGTTAATTTATTTAATTGCTCTATTTTCAAAACAACGACAACAAATCAGTATAATCTCACAAGTGGGGTCTGGGGAGGATAGTGTGTACGCAGACGTTACCCCTGCCTGGAAGATAGAGAAGTTGTTTCCGATAGACCCTCGGCTCAAGGCAAAATTGCTCTATTTTCAAAGTGGAGGCAAAAGACATTAGGTTATTTCGTTCCATCTGTTTAAGTTTTGATAGGCAGAGTTATCCGGTACTTGTGAGTGGAATAGTCGAGGTGCGCAAGCTTGGGCAGACACCACCGTCATTAAAAAAGTTATTTTGTTTAATTTATTTAAGGGGCTAGCTTGACCTCTGAGTTCTTTTGTAAGCTGTTTTTGTAGTCCTAAGTAGTTATCAGGAATCTTGGTGTGATTTTCAGTTGATTTTTTATTTAGATAACCGCAGAAAGATAGAAATCCATGGCAGCAAAAATTTGTTAGTCTTGTCTTTTCTCTTGGGTTTTCTGATTGGTTTGCTTGTTGTTTCCCCTTCCTTTTATCTTTCCTGAGCCGATGTTCTACTGAAAACAGCCTTAGGGGTAAGGTCTGCGTACACACTGCCCTCTCCAGACCTCGCTTGTGGGATTACACTGGGTGTTTTGTTGTTGTTGTTTGCCTCTTTGAGCTGTTAGTCCTTTTAGGATTTCTGCGAAACTTTTATCAGTTTGGCTGCGCAATTACACTTGGCCACTTTTCTCTCTTATCTAATTGAAACATAAGGAAGGACTGGGTATGTGAGTTTATCATCCTAAAGTTCTGGATTTCATGTCAACACATAGTTTTTATAGTGCTTTGTGTGGAAGGCCTTTTGGAATTGAAAGAAACACAAACTGCAGTCAAGACGTGGTTAAAGATTTTATGAAAATTATCCAAGATCTCATGATTTTGAAATGATATTGATCCTACATTGGGATAACAAGATTAAGTATTGTCGACATACTCATTAATTAGGTTTTCTAATTTTGATTCAACAGACTAGGTCTAATTGCAACACAACCGCCTTGATCGATTTAAAGATCTTAATTGATAAAACACACTGTTGATTCAACAACTCAATTTCCAAGTTCTCTTGATCTGAGTGGAGCCAAGATGGTAAGAATATCAGATTTACTGGGTCAGAGGGTGAGTTTATTTCTACAGAGTGCAGCATTAAGTAACCAGTTGTCCAATTATTCATTGGGTTTGCGATGAAAATCAATTTTCACAATATAGCAAACTGCTGAACTATTATCCTGCAATATGCTTTATAATCCTGTCTTACAATGTATAGAAGAAATTGATGTCACCTATCTTTTTGCAGTGGGTGAAATGGCAGCAGCATCAGCAACTACTCTCTCAGTTGGTTCAGCTATGACCTTTGGCTCCATACTGAGCTCAAAATCACTATCAAATACCTGTGCTGTGAAATACAATACTAGGAACTACCTTAGGAGTTTCAGTGGCCTCAAGGCAGAGGCATTTGTACGATGTGAATCGGAGTCATCATTTTTGGGGAGGGAAAGTGCTGCAGCTCTTCGACAATCCATTCCTCCCAAGGCCCAAATAGAAAAGCAGAGATTCTTGAACCATGTTCAGCCTCAAGCATCTTATAAAGTGGCTATTTTGGGAGCCGCTGGTGGGATAGGCCAATCTCTAGCTCTTCTGATTAAGATGTCACCGCTAGTTTCATCATTGCACCTCTATGATATTGCAAATGTCAAAGGAGTTGCAGCAGATCTTAGCCATTGCAACACTCCCGCTCAGGTTGTTGACTTCACGGGAGCTTCTGAATTGGCCAATTGTTTGAAAGGTGTAGATGTAGTTGTCATACCAGCTGGTGTTCCAAGAAAGCCTGGTATGACACGGGACGACTTGTTCAACATTAATGCCAATATTGTGAAAGGGTTAGTTGAGGCTGTTGCCGACAACTGCCCGGATGCCTTTATCCACATTATCAGCAATCCAGTCAATTCCACAGTGCCGATTGCTGCTGAGGTTCTTAAGCAAAAGGGTGTTTACGATCCTAAAAAACTCTTTGGTGTTACAACCCTAGATGTTGTCAGGGCAAACACATTCATCGCTCAGAAGAAAAACCTGAGACTCGTAGATGTTGATGTCCCTGTGGTTGGTGGGCATGCCGGGATAACAATTCTGCCCTTGCTGTCAAAGACAAAACCATCAACTACTTTCACTGAAGAAGAAGTGCAGGAACTAACGGTGAGGATCCAAAATGCCGGGACAGAGGTTGTCGAGGCAAAGGCCGGAGCAGGATCTGCAACACTGTCAATGGCATATGCGGCGGCTAGATTCGTTGAGTCCTCTCTTCGTGCCATCGATGGTGATGCTGATGTTTACGAGTGTACTTATGTTGAATCTAACTTGACAGAACTTCCATTCTTTGCATCGAGAGTTAAACTAGGAAGAAATGGCGTTGAGGCTTTGATTTCGTCTGATCTCAACGGATTAACCGAGTATGAACAAAAAGCTTTGGAAGCTCTAAAGCCAGAGTTGAAAGCTAGCATTGAGAAGGGAATAGCTTATGCTCAAAAAGAAGCAGTGACTGCTTAGAATGTTAGTACTATATATCATGAAGAATGAGAAGATATTTCTAGATTGTTATAAGTGAAGATTCTCAGCATGACAGTTTTGTATGATTCAATTATTAGCTCCATTCTTTTTTTTTTTTTTTTTTTTTTTTTTTTTTGGGTCTGAACTAGTGTAAGCTCGCTCTGTTGTATTTGCTCTAGAAGAATGCATCAGCATTTCCAGTTTTGTTGGGTTTCCTCGTCCATTTTATGATGTTGTTACTTAGCTGTTTCAACGTATTGCCAAGAGCACCCGATGGCGTGGCCTAATGGTTAATAAAGTGGGTTGAGAACTTAAGGTAGAGTATATAGGACTACTCTATATTAGTAATATAGAGTGTATATATCCTAAATAGGATATATTAGTAATGCTGGGATTAGTCATATTGAGATTAGTTATGCTGTGATTATTTTTTATGGATATTTGATTTGGTGTATTAAAAGTAACATGCATTACTAAAAATTACACGCATTAATAAGTAGGATATTTAGTAATGGGATTAGTCATACTGAAATTAGCTATGCTGGGATTATTTTTTATCAACTATTTGATTTGGTGTTTAAAAATAACATGCATTACATAATTTTTTTTAAATTGTTTATTTAGAAAAATACCTTTCATATTCTTTAGCTTTGTATTTGGAAAAGATTTTGAAAGGGTAGTTCTATCTTTATATGTCGATATCCATGTATTAAGAATATGGTGGATAACTAATACAAGTTGTAGACAATAAATTTGCGTCGAGAAAATAAAATCAAGACCGAAAAATATCGCAACAATCGTAGTATTTTATTTCAAATATTTGAGTGTTACAATCTCTATGAATCCTCTGATTCTTCTTTTCTAGTATAAATTCAAGGGCCTTTGAGCTTGATCTTGAATTTGAATTTGATTTATCCGTCGCGAACACTTTGATTGTTGCCACGAATTTTATCACGAACAAGTAGCCTTGATCTTGAACGCCTTGTATTTGATTTGACTTCGTTCTTGATCTCGAATACTTGAATTGTTCTTCGTTCTTGAGCTTGAATACTTGATTTGTTCTTCGTTCTTGAACTTGAACTTGATTTCTTGAACTTGATTGCTTGAAGCTTGAAACTTGTGGAGGAATTTGCAGCGTTTGATCCACGAGCTCTTTCTTGCTTCTTGTTATAACTTCTGGTGTATTTTTTGAGTTATGAAGACCCCTATTTATAGTTGTGGAAGGGAGGAGTCATGATAAGAACAAACTCTTTCCGACCAATCAAATTGAAGTGTGACATGACCGCATTTGATTGGCCAGAACATGTCACTTGCACACGTGGCGCAATTTCATTGGCCTTTCAGTGTGACTGGGCATGCCTTGTCATTTTGACACGTGGCATGATCCTATTGGCTCTTCCGCTTGACTTGGCGCGCCACGTCATTTGACACATGACACCAAACTGGGCCTCTAGGAAGATGACATCTTGGGCTTAATGAAGTGGGCTCATTACTTTAGCCCAATTAAATGGGCTAGCCCAATGGATTAGACTTATTTATTTAATCCATTTATATTGGACCTGTATAATTAATTCATTTATATATTAGCCCATAATATTTATTTGGACCAATATATCTTGAATTTAAAATATAGTCCAAATTATTTTATGGATTTAATTCAAGTAAAATTTATATGCCTACAAATGCCCCCTACTTCAAGATTTGTCACGGTATATATTTTGTTTATCAAAGACAAGGCTAGAAGTATCTCACGTGGCATGTTGCCTTTACTGCCACATTGATCTCTACAATGACAAATTTGTATACTTGCCTTTATTCTCACGTGGCACATTTATAAGCAGCTTTTGCTTCTTTATAAAATATCCATTCTAGTATCAATTTCCATGTTGGTCTAAGTTTGATGTCCAACATCCATTCTTAATCAGTTTTCGAGGGTACTAGCACTATGAACCGTCGTTGGCAGATTACAACTCGAATTGCAATTCGATTTCAACTCGAATTGCAATTTCTGCTGCCTCATAACTTATCCCACATCGGCACTTCTCTCCCGACCATCGTCTTTTGGCATCTATAAATACGGTATACTCTTCATTCTATTAGCATCACTTTCAGCGTTTGCAAACCACTTTGATTCTACTTTCGACGACATGGAAGCATGGACGCGAAGGTAATTTCTTCTTCTTTTCTTGTGCTTTCTTCTTTGTTGTCTATTTTTTCCTTTTTTGTAGGTCAAGCGAGAAAGATATGTTCTTGTTCAACAACATGATCCACGCATGAAGAAGACAATCTTGGGATGTGAGGGGATGAGTACTCATCCTTGCCCGAATATCGGAGAGATTACTCTCATGGCCCGACTACCGGAGAGATTACTCTCAATGTGGCCCGACTACCGGAGAGATTACTCTCAATATGGCCCGACTACCTGAGAGATTACTCTCAAAATGGCCCGACTATAGGAGAGATTACTCTCAATGTGGCCCGACTACCGGAGAGATTACTTTCAAAATGGCCCGACTACCGGAGAGATTACTCTCAAAATGGCCCGACTACCGGAGAGATTACTCTCAAAATGGCCCGACTACCGGAGAGATTACTCTCAATATGGCCCGACTACCGGAGAGATTACTCTCAATGTGGCCCGACTACCGGAGAGATTACTCTCAAAATGGCCCGACTACCGGAGAGATTACTCTCAATATGGCCCGACTACCGGAGAGATTACTCTCAATGTGGCTCGACTATCGGCGAGGCCAACTAAAGGTGCAAAGGGACTCATATGTCCACCTTAAGATTGGAAAGTTATAGTTCCTTTTAAGGACAAACCCACGAAGAGGCCAACTTAAGGTGCAAAGGGACTTATATGTCCACCTTAAGATTGGAAAGTTATAAAGCTTCAACTCGAAGACGACATCAACTTGAATACTTGGAAAACTTTGAAGATTTGGCGGACTTTGCAGACTTCAACTCGAAGATTCGGAGGGCTTCAACAATTCAACTTTAAGATCGGCGAATTTGAAGATTGAAACTTGAAGACCGAAGGACTTGAAGACTTCAACTTGGAGGGCTTAAATATTTCAACTTTAAGACCGGCGAATTTGAAGACTGAAACTTGAAGACCGACGAACTTGAAGACTTCAACTTTGAGACTTGGAGGGCTTAAATATTTCAACTTGAAGATCGACGAATTTGAAGACTTCAACTTGAAGACCGACGGAGTTGAAGATTTCAACTTGGAGACTTCAACTTGAATACTGACGGACTTGAAAACTTCAACTTGGAGACTTCGAGGGCTTAAATATTTCAGCTTCTCTTTTGCTTTACATTGTCCGACGTTTATCTCAGTCGCATAATTTTCAGCTTTACGCGCTTGTAACAAAAGATTCATATCTTATCATGGGAGAGTCCAAATAATGAACCGTTTGATTTCTCGAAAACTAGACTTCAAGACCTAGAACATATCCAAAATTCTCAATTAAACAACTTCAGAATCGTCCCAGATAATATTTTGAAATCAACTTTGTATTGCACCACGCTATCAATTCTAGATTTGCGCAGTCTCACTACAAAATTCATATCTCGGTGTAGAAATATCGAAATTGCAAACCGTTTGATTTCAAGAAAACTAGACTTCAAAATCTAGAACATATCCAAAATTCTCAATCAAACAACTTCAGAATCGTCCCAGATAATATTTTGAAATCAACTTTATATTGCATCACGCTATCAATTCCAGATTTGCGCAGTCTCACCAAAATATTCATATCTTGGTGTAGGAACGTCAAAATTAGGAACCGTTTGATTTATTGAAAACTAGACTTCAAGATCTAGAATATATCCAAAATTCTCAATCAAACAACTTCGGAATCGTCCCAGATAATATTTTGAAATCAACTTTACGTTGCACCACGCCATCAATTCCATATTTGCGCAGTCTCACAAAAATCCATATCTTGGTATGGAAGCCTCGAGATCGGAAGATGTCTTACTTGCCATCAATTGAAATTTAAGATCCATATTCTCACAAATATCTTGAGTTCAAGTCTCACTAAATTTGAAACGTTGTGGCAAGCAATCTTTTCCTTATACTTGTGTTTCCTTTTGATGTCTCTCTTCTCTTCCCCTTTTTTTTAAGGCAGAGGGCGGACTTGGAGACCAACAAACTTGAAGGTTTGGCGAACCTGAAGACATAGAGAATCCTGGACTTCAATGCAAATACTTGACATCCTCCTAAAATCGGCCCATTGAAGATGCCAATTTACCATGGAGGGTTGCCCCCTTTAAATCAAATGAGGTCAAAGTTCAGTAGGAGGATGGCATTTCAGCTTGATCTTACATTCCTTCATACTTCATTCGAACAACAATTGGGGCAATATGTATCTTTTGAACTTATGCGACTGAACTTAGAATGAAACTCTAAGCTGCCTACGTACCTCGGTGAAGAGGATCAAGTCATACCGTAGTTCAGACTGGATAATTTTTTTTTCTTTTTTTTTTTACGTCCTAACTTTTTCCTAGGCCACCTCTTTCGAGATTTTCAACCTAGTGGACTTTTTTTGGGGGCCGTACACAGTTTATACTCTTGCGGGCCAGGAGTGTAGCAACATGCAGTTTAGGCTCGTGCGTCAAGGAGTGTCATGACTTGCAGTTTAGGCTCGTACGTCGAGGAGCGTTGCAGCTTCAAGGATAATACTTCTTCAAAAACCTGCCATTGATAGGGCCGATCCTCATATCATCTGCATCAACCAGATTGTAAGCCCCACTTGAGTAAGCTTCTTGTACGACATATGGCCCATCCCATTTTGAAGTGAACTTCCCTAAAGGTTTATGGGAAGTAATTATGGGTCTTCGTACGGCAAGGACTTGATCTCCTACTTGAAAGGATCTCGGGCGAACTCTTTTATTGAAGGCGCGAGATAATCGAGCTTGATAACATTCAAGACTCTGTTGAGCTTCCAATCTCTTTTCATCAAGAGCTTCCAACTCTACTAACCGAAGTCGAGCATTTTCTTCATCAGTGATCCCTTCTTGAATAGCCAGTCGTAACGAAGGTATTTGACGCTCAAGTGGCAAGACGGTTTCGACTCCATAAACGAGTGAATAAGGAGTCGCCTGTGTTGGTGTGCGGTGAGTCGTCCTATATGCCCATAGAGCTTCTTCCATACGGTCATTCCAATCTCGTTTGGATTTGGAGACGACTTTCTTTA